GGAAAGGGTATACATATTTTAGTGTGAATGCTCGCTCCTGGGAAACACCAGGCCCACCTTGGGGTGGGCTGGGGCACGCACTCCGGGCCGCACAAAGTGTTAAGTTCGACAAAATGCAAGTTGTGTTTATCAAGATGGAAAGACTAACTTATTGCTTTTTAAACAACGCACAGTCACAATGTGTAGCACTTTTATCAACAAATAATTCATTTTCATAATTATATGATCCTTTTAAGAGCATGAATTTTGCTTAAATCATAAGCACTTTGTGTTCGGTTTTAAGCAAATGTTGTGCGAGTGTTTGCAAACTATTAATCACCTAAATAACAAAAGGTAACTAACTTTAAAATCTAATAATAAAGTATAAATAGTATTCAATATAATGTAATACAGTACAGTGGTACCTCGGCTTACGAATGCCCCTCTTTACGAACTTTTCAGGTTACGAGCCCGATTTCATCGGAAAATTTGAATCGGGTTATGAACTTTACCTCGGGAAATGAGTTTGTTGATACGTGTATGGCTGACCTAGCGCGTGGTGGCACGGCAATCACGCCTCAGGTTACCAATGCCTCCCGCCTAGTGACTATTGTGCCTGAATTTTTTTCGATGATTTACAGTTGTTTTGGATTTTTGGCTATTTGAACATAAAATTTGTTATTATATATCTCGCCATGGGTCCCAAGAAAGCCAGTGGTAAGGTTCAAGGCAAGAAAACACATGCGAGAATGACCATAGACGAAAAACAAAGAGATCATTTGCAAACATGAAAATGGTACACGTGTTGTTGAACTAGTTAGGCAGTACAACAAATCAGAGGAGGAGGAGGCAGTAGAGGATGTCCCTTCTTCGTTAATTAAGAAAATGTGTGCAGTATGGGAAGAACTGCAAAGTTTTGCTGAAAACAATCACCCAGATAAAGTTGTAGCAGGCCGTTGCATTGATCTTATTAATGACAATGTGATGTCTCACTACAGACAAGTGTTACAAAGAAGGGAAAAACAATCTTCACTGGAACGATTTCTAGTGAGAAAATCAAGCAGTGAGCTAGAAGCAGGTCCTAGTGGTATGCAGGCAAAACGTGCCAGAGTATGTACCCCAGAGAAGTCATCGCTGCCTGATGTTATAATGAAAGGGGACTCCCCTTCCAAACAGTAACACCTCTCCTTCCCCCCTCCTCACTGTCTTCGATACGCCAACAGGAGTCATCAGTAAAGATAAGTAATAACTTGTACATACTTTTGTAGTGAAAATTTGGGTGAATTAGGTATAAAATTTACTGTGAAGTTAATTTTTGGGGGAGTCTGGAACGGATTAATTCCTTTCCCATTATTTCTTATGTTGAAATTCGCTCGGTTTACGAATTTTTGGGTTACGAACTGTCTCTAGGAACGGATTAAATTCGTATTCCGAGGTACCCCTGTACTTCTTTTTGTGTTCAGCCGCAGTTACTGGTGAGATCACCTAACACCAAGTATTCCCGAGACTCTTATTGCCTTTCAAGGACAAAGGCCCTTGTAATTTTCCCTTGTCTCCTCGATATGAGAGCTGGAGATCAACCCAGTACCAAGTAACTTCCTCTAAAAATTTTTTTTAAATTTTCTTTATAGTGTGTTATGAAGAACTCAGTGCCTCTATCAGTGTGTGTTGCAACTAAATGAAAATAAGTATTAATAGACAATCTTATTAATAAGATAACAAATTTAATTTTGTAGGGGAGTTCAGTGAACTGTAGGGAAGCTATGAGAACAGCACTCCCACTACTTGTAACCTACAAAGATAAGTAAACTATAAATTGCTCCAACTTCCCCACAAACACAATGTGTTAAAATTCTGTAATATACTACCAAGAAGCTTCCTTGCATCACTATACATCGGTGCTGAAAGCTTCAAGCTGAAAAGTGAAGACATTAACCTTTAAAAACCATAAGTATACCTAATGGGTTAACTTAATAATATAACCGACATTGCAAAAGTACCTTATCACTGATCACTTGAACACAAGCTTTTACACAACTTGCATGATCAGCAACAGGACGGTTCTCACTTAAGCGACCTGCTTGCCCATGTATCTCTTGATATTTGGCCTCTTCTGGGCCTCTGAAAATAAAATAAATGTTCTATTTCTATCAAATTTAAATGTCAAAATAATCTTTAATCAAAAAAGTTAGAGAAAGAGATAGAATAAGACATCTTAAGAGAGTAGAGGTATATAAACATTATAATTCGAGAGAGAAAAGTGCAATGATGAGAAATGCAAACAAGATGTAAGCTACCATCAGGTGGTCCCTGGGGTATTCATCCAAGTGCACAATTTCACCACCACATAATCAACAATACAGAACCATCACAATCACCAATTACGAAAAGGCAGACCTACTGGTGGCCCATTTCTTTGCTCAGCTGTGAGTCCATGATCCAGAAGAGGAGTGCTACAGCTTGCTTTAAGCACTGTGCCAAAGACATCAATCATGAATACTATAAAGCAAGCTGAAGTCCATCACCTCTTTAAATCACTCAAAACAGTAAGACAATAAGGCCAGCCTAAGGCTGCAACATAGTTGTAATGACCAGCTGGCATCACCTTTAACTCACTGCTAACTCCGACTACCAAATTTATTAGTCCTTCAGAGAAAAATGGGCAAAGAATATGCAAAATCATTAACCTGATTGTATAAGTTTCTCCTCCGTAAGTCCACTGGTGGTCGATGATTGGATTAATGCAAGGTGAGCGGATAATGCCGTCTTCCCCCTTGTGCTGCAGCAGAACAGATGCCCGGGCAGCCATCAGTCCTAGCCCCAAGTAGCTTCAACAAAAGAGAAAAAATGGAAAATATTACAAAATATTTATCACAAATTATTACAACATTTTATGATAAATATTTGTTTACTTTTCAAATAATTAAGCTAGAATAATTATGTCAAAGTAAGGAGGAATATGGTGTAAGGTGAGAAAGAACATGGAACAAGTTGAGGAAGAATATGGTATAAGGTGAGGAGAAACATGGTTTAAGATGAGGAGGAAGTTGGTAAGAAATGAGTAGGAATATGTTTGAGGTAAGAAGGAATATAGTATAAGATGAGGTTGAATACGGTATAAGGTGAGTAGAATGGTATGAGGTGAGGAGGAATGTGATATAAGGCCCTGGTGTGTGTAGCTTGGACAATCTTGAATAAGAACAGACCATCCTCTTATTATTTATTGACACTTTGGCAGTCCGGCTTCTCTGAGCACTCCCAACTGTAAACCTAAGTCCCGGAAGCACCTCAAGGTAACCTCAAGGTAACCCCACGGCCCAGTCCTCGACCAGGCCTCCTTTTTGTTACACACTCCCAGGAAACAGCCCATAGCAGCTGTCTAACTCCCAGGTACCTAATTACTGCTAGGTAACAGGGGCATCAGGGTGAAAGAAACTTTGCCCCATTTGTTTCTGCCTCCACCGGGGATCGAACCCAGAACCTCAGGACTACGAATTCAAAGTGCTGTTCACTCAGCTATAAGGCCCCCCTAAGCATGGTTACCTTGCAACGTCTGTGCCACCTGTACCTGCAAAAGATCATCATTAGTTTGGGTAAACTGAGACACCAGCAAGCAACAAAACTCACAGGACTCCTGGTCGAAAGAGTCACCGACCCAACAGGCAGCGTGACGGAGGCAAAAACAGTGAGGCTCACCCTGAGACAAGGGGGCCGAGCAACCCTCGAACTCACACGAAGCGAGGGGGGACTGAGGGGTCACATCCATCGGACTCGCGCGCCCCCTGGGGTTTCCCAGGGTCCTGAGATGGAACTCACGCTCGGGGAATCCCAGGCAGGGTACTGCTAACCGGCGCCCAAAACTACCGAGCAACTCTCTAAAGCTGAACCTCGGGGATGTGTACACTCACGGGGACCTAGCAGGGGGTGCCACCAGAAAAGAACGTATGCAGGTCAGGCACAAGGGGAACAAGCAAGGCAACCCCCCCCCCCCTCCCCACAAGGCAAAAAGAAAAAGAAAAAGAAAACCCCGCAAGAGGACAAGAGGACAACGTACCCAAAAGGAACAGAGCCAGCTGCTATGAATGGTGTAAACAAGCAGTGCAGCACCCTGCTCCCCTTAGCAGTGCAACCCACCTCTTACCCTAAGGTAAACATGGGAGACAAAAACCCAAAGCACCCAAAGGGTTGCTAAAAAACTAAGCAGTGAAAAGACCTAGCAGAGGCAGGACCCAAGGAACTTGTGGTAGGTGGCCCCACGCTCCAAGGGCACTACTTACAGGGCACCTAGGGATGATAACCCTAGGCGCATGCAGCCTGAGTACTGTAGAATAACTCCTGGCTCACGCAACTCCTGGAGGACAGCCACCACACTCAAAGCACAGCGCTGAAAAACACCCGAGCCAGAGCACACGACCTTCGCCTCTAGCATCAGCCATAGAACTAAAGGGTCGATGGCCGGCGCGTGGGTCTGGGGCTTTCCCTAGTAGCACAGACAGCGGCATGGCGATGTGTGATGTCATGCTCATTTGCTCGTTTCTTTTTGAGGAGTTCTATCCACTTGTTCAGCTTTTTGTAGCAATTTTCACCAGAATAGGGGTTTGTTTTGGGACGCTTACCTTTCTGGGTGCCTGACCCGGTCGATGGCTGACAAAGAATGCTTCCAGCCACACGGGGGGGTTTCTATAGACCATTGCTCCCCATGCCTCTCAGAGGAGGCCAGGTTCTGGCTCGTGGTCCCTGGTAGGCCCACAGAACTCCATACATGACTGATGCCAAAGTCTGACATTTGTATATCAGCCTGGATAGCTCTGGGGAGCCGAAGGGGCTCCCACCAGACCGAGTTCCACATAAGAGGTTGTTCTAGAAACTGGAAAATATTGGAGGGGTGACAGGTAACCTTCTAACATGGATGAAAAATTTTCTGACTGATAGAAAAATGAGGGCAATAATAGGAGGGCAATGTATCAGACTGGAGAAATGTCACAAGTGGAGTACCACAGAGTTCAGTTCTTGCACCGGTTATGTTCATTGTCTACCTAAACGATCTACCAGATGGTATACAGAATTATATGAACATGTTTGCTGATGATGCTAAGATAATAGGAAGGATAAAAAACTTAGATGATTGTCATGCCCTTCAAGAAGACCTGGACAAAATAAGTATATGGCGAACCACTTGGCAAATGGATTTTAATGTGAATAAATGCCATGTTATGGAATGTGGAATAGGAGAACATAGACCCCACACAACCTATAAATTATGTGAGAAATCTTTAAAGAATTCTGATAAAGAAAGAGATCTAGGGGTAGTTCTAGATAGAAAATTATCACCCGAGGACCACATAAAGAACGTTGTGCGAGGAGCCTATGCTACGCTTTCTAACTTCAGAATTGCTTTTAAATACATGGATGGCGAAATACTAAAGAAATTGTTCACGACTTTTGTTAGGTTAAAGCTATAATATACAGTGGTTGTGTGGTGCCCATATCTTAAGAAGCATGTCACCAAACTGGAAAAGGTGCAAAGACATGCTACTAAGTGGCTCCCAGAACTGAAGGGCAAGAACTACGAGGAGAGGTTAGAGGCATTAAATATGCCAAAACTAGAAGACAGAAGAAAGAGAGATGATATGATAACTACGTACAAAATAGTAACAGGAATTGATAAAATTGATAGGGAAGATTTTCCGAGACCTGGAACTTCAAGAACAAGAGGTCATAAATTTAAACTAACTAAACAAAGATGCCGAAGAAATATAAGAAAATTCACTTTCGCAAACAGAGTGGTAGACGGTTGGAACAAGTTAGGCGAGAAGGTGGTGGAGGCCAAAACAGTCAGTAGTTTCATAGCGTTATATGACAGAGTGCTGGGTAGGTGGGACACCACGAGCGTAGCTCTCATCCTGTAACTACACTTAGGTAATTACTTGTTATGTTCTATATTTCTATAGTAGTGCAATTACCACATTTGTTTTTTCAAATTCTCTAGCTCAATACCACTATCCCATACTTACTTTCATATTCTCCACACCCACTCCATTCTTCTTTCTCCACAACATGCAATCATTTCTACATACATCTCATGATCACCAGCAGATTTCCCACACTTCATCTTTCTCACTGATAAACTGTAATCCCCCCAAAAATGCACACAAAGTGACTCTGGAAAAAGTACTGGTTCACTACCTGTGTGTGTAAAGGTTAAGATTTTTATGGAGGAGAGAGATGGAGGTAAGGTATTCCTCTGGAGTCTTCTTAACAGTCTCATCCTCAACAGGCACAAAGGTAATTTGAGTGGATCCACCTCCCAGGTCAAGAGCCACTAAAGTGTCTCTAGGGTCACCACTAACACGATCTGCAGAGGGAGATTAATACAGTACAATGAATCACCCTGACTGATAATTTATTTATAAAATATACATTTCTGAACTCACAACAATATTAGCTATCTATCATATTAACCAATCAAACTTAAGAGATTTCAAAACAGCTAGAGAGGGAGAGAGGGAGGGAGGGAGGGAGGGACGGGGTAGTGATAGACTAACATGGGGTAAAAGGGGAAGTTGCCCCAGGCAGGAGTAGGAGCCCTAAGACTCAGTAACTTCCTTTTGTTTTAAACAATTTGTTTAAATATAACAATATAATTGTCATGCCATTTATATTTCAAAATTAATTTTAGTGTACAGTGGTACCTCGAATAACGAATTTAATCCGTTCCGGCGTGGTCGTCATGTGAAATGGACGTCATACAAAACGAATGTCCCCATTGACATTAATGGTAATCAAATTAATCCGTTTTACCACCGAAAAACATCAATATGATATTCGATGTTTTAAATAATGGAGCAGCCTATCGCACATACACTGCACAAACCTTTAAGACATTTTTCTTTCTTCAAATTTTTTTTTGTTCAATATTTATTTTTCATTTGTCTTATAGCAAAAGGTTCGTTCGGTTGTCGGCAGGTAGGCTGCCCCATGTTTCTTACATAAAAAAAACGAAAATAAAAAAAAATGAAGAATTTTGAAAACCAAAACAAATGTCAAAAAGGTTCATTCGGTTGTCTACAGATAGGCTGCTCCATGTTTCTGGAAAAAAAAAAATAATTTCATTGAATGTAATGAAATGCCTCTTTTTGGATGAACCCGAAGTGACTCCCTGACTCCCTCCCTCCCTCCCTACCAGCTTAGTTGGTTTGTCAGTGAACTGAGTAAGGAAGATGGTTGCATGTAGAAGCCAGGCCATGGTGGTGGCATTCATTACTACAAGTTTCATGCTAATTTGTATGTTTCTCTTGATTTGTATGACTTGCAGAGTTGTTTGGCAATTTTTATATGCCACTTCTAAATGATAATAGCAATAGCAATCAGAGGTCCATGACTTAAGGCAATCCTACTTGCAACCGACTTACATTTACGACGGATACCAACACTTTCTCAGTCAGCCATTTTATGCTAACTGATGGTCTTAGTGCAGTGAAGCCCTTAGTTTCAACGACATAAAAGTTTAGTACATATAGTATTTACTGGGCAAAAAATAAGTGGTTTATATATAACAGCTTGTTCTTTTCATGCACAAATATACATTATTATTATTAATATAATGGAGACTGTGATGCCATGGATTCACACTTGTTTTCAGTCCACCCCTGGGATGAGGAAAGGAGGGATAAAGGGAAGGGAAGGGAAGGGGAGAAGGGTGAGAGGGAGGGTGGGAGGAGTGAAAAAAGAAAGAAGCATACATATGTCAGATTCAATTTAATGTAACTCGTGTAGTCAGAAATGATATGCAAAATTCATGTACTTAATCTTACTTACCCATAAGGTAATTAACAGTAAACCAGGAGAAAATTCCTTCATCACGCCCATCCATGATGCCTACCGAGTTCTCTGTTGTATGGAACCCAGATGAGTCCAGCAACTTTCTAACCTAAACAAGGACAAATTTTACTATATTTATTAGTTCTCATCAGTGCCGTAGGATATGGAAGCGGCTTCCTTTCAGTGAATTACACTATACTGTATCTCAAACCCTTGGCTAAAGAACTTTTGTACAGCTATCCAGTGAATCCAACTTATGGTTAATGCATAAAATGTCTGCAACATGAAAGCAAGCACTTCACCAAGTGAACGTGAATAAATTGTTGCAAATAATAAACTCATATATTGTACCCTATCTACATTTTTAGTAAATGATACTGTCAAACAATTACACACTTGTTGACCAAACCACACACTAGAAATTGAAGAGTCGACGACGATTCGGTCTATCCTGGGCCATTATGAAGTAGATTGTGATATCGACCATTATCACAATCGAGTTGATAATGGTCCAGGATGGACCAAAACGTCGTCGACTTTTCAATTTCTTGTGTGTGTGGTTTGGTCAACATTTTTCAGCCACGTTTTTGTGACTCATCATCTGCAATTTCTCACTTTTGTCATTAAATATATCACAAAATATTTTCCTATAAGTACTTAATACAGTACTGTACATTACATCTTAATACTATATCAAACTGATCAGGCTTTGCTGTCTTTTGCTGGGTGCGAGTATACATTCTAGTCACCCGGTGCCAATGTGCCCGGGGCCTTAGTGGTTTTCACTAATTTTACTTTTTTCTAATTTTTTGGGGCCTGGATGTTTCCAGGCTCAGTGCCACTGTTTCTGGTTGGGGGTAGCTGGCTGTTCCAGGGCTGTGCATCCAGTTGTTCCTATGATGTGCACATGTAGGTGTTGGGGCTGTGTTCTTTCTTTTTCCAGGGATGTGTGCTTATTCTTACTGGATTGTACACTTTGTTTATTTCTGGGTTGTATGCAAGAATGTTTCTGGGCTGTGTCCAGAAAGTGGGAGCTCAGCTGCTTCAGGTGTATAGGATTGTGCTGGCTGTATTCTGGGCTGTGTGCCCATCTGATTTCTTGGCTGGGTACCAGAGTATCTCCAAGCTACATTTCAGGGTCGTTGCAGTTTATTGCAGGGAATTTATTGCCTTAAGGGTGTCATAGGCTCATTGCTGTGTTCCTAGTGGCTTGTTTTGTGTAACCTGTATGGATATTGCCTTTTGGCTCTTCCTATGAGGTCCCTCAATGCATTTGGATTGCCCTTTTGGCATTGGTGTGCCCCCTTTTTCTGCTGTTTCCTTTCAAAGGTCAGCCTTGGCCAATTTTTTGTCTTGAAACTATAGTCCTCCTCTGCCAAGTTGCTGTTGTCAAATTTGCATTCTGGAACTAATGAGGGGGAAGCCATTCAAGAAATCAAGCACTGAATGTAATGAAATGCCCTTTTCAGGTAAGGCTCTCAGTAGCCCTCCTGTTCTATTCCCTTTTTTCTTGTTAGGTGGTGGAGTTCATTTTGGGTGGCCTGTGGGTGAGAAAGTTAGCAAGCTGGAGACTCTGGGAACCTGTACTGCCACGTAGTGGTAATACGCATGGCTGATATGTTTATATAGTCAATGATTGTTTGCCTGCTACATTTTGGGTACCTAATTTCTTTCAAGCAGTTGCTTGTTCTGTTGCACTTATGCTTTCCTGGTGGCATTTTTCTTGGTTTTGAGTAGATGTTGAAATTTTAAACTTCCATCACTTTGTAGAGAGCCAGGTTCTTGCTCTGGCTTTCTGTAGGAAAGTCTCAGAAGTCAGATGCATATCCCTAAAGCATTACATTCAATACTGGATTTTGTTTATCATTATTTTGAAATAATCAACCCATCCACACTATTTTATTATAAGAAAAAATTAGTTTCCTAATACCTGGAACATTATATAACACACATCTGTCACATGCTCAATAAGTGAGGGAGCGTGTGGCAACAATCACAAAAGTTGTGTGCTGAGTAATGTTTTTCTTATTTTCTTGGTCAAATGAAAACCTGTCCACACTATCCCACCTTAAATAAAGTAACAGATTTTAGAAATACATCACATGATCTTTTCTTAATTATCCCGACTTTGTTATCCAAACACAAATTGGTTCGGATATTTGGGGATCACACTGTACGTCTTGCCTGACTCTCCATGATCACCTCTAAGGCTGTGTACACAGCAGATCTTACCAGTGAGAGCAGCCTAATATTATATTGAAAACAAAATGAACATAATATTGAAAAACAGATATACATACCTCCATTAAAAGTGCCTCAGCTTTTTCATTGGGCAAAAGTCTGAGTCCTGCTGTAGCTTTCAAAACCAAGGGAGTGGAAGCCCAGTTTTGAGGAGGAATGCTACTTTTAGCAAGCTCCAGCAAAGGCAGCAATGACTTAGCTCCCTGAAATAGATGCAAACGAAGATCTTGTTTAATAACTGAAGGAAACATTTACAAAAGTACAATAGCCATATCTTGCCACCACTGCCAGAAAAGCAGCAATTGCCAACTTAAACAAAAATAAAGAATAATAGCAGCCACACAACACACTTAACTAAAACGTGAAGTGGTAGAAGTCGCTGGATCACAAAAATAAGATACCATCACAGATTCACAACCAAGTATGTGATAGATCTGTGTCCAATAAGAGGCCCCAAACCATGACTTGGTCCTTAAGCATTGCATAGGTGGGATAGTATATAAACAGAAACACAACGAAGGCATACACCAATTAACACTAAGTATCAAGAGGCAAGCTAATACAATGGATTGAGTGTCAAACCAATACAATGGGTTGAGTGTCAAGAAAATACAATGGGTCAAGTATCAAGCTAATACAATGGGTCGAGTGTCAAGCTAATACAATAGGTCAAGTGCCAAGCTAATACATTGGGTCAAGTGTCATAATACAATGGGCCAAGTATCAAGCTAATACAATGAGTCAAGTATCAAGCTAATACAATGGTTCGAGTGCCAAGCTAATACAATAGTTCGAGTGCCAAGTTAATACAATGGGTCGAGTGCCAAGCTAATACAATGGGTCGAGTGTCAAACTAATACACTGGGTCGAGTGTCAAACTAATACACTGGGTCGAGTGTCAAACTAATACACTGGGTCGAGTTTCAAGCTAATACAATGGGTCAAGTGGCAAGCTAATACAATTGGTCAAGTGGCAAGCTAATACAATGAGATAATTGTATTAGCATGCTAATTCACTTCAGCAAGTTTCAAATTACTGAAATATATTAGGGCAAGTTTCGGTGTAGTAAAATACAATGAGGCAAATTTCAAATTACTGAAATACTGTACATTAAGATAAGTTTCAATGAACAGTGGAACCTTGAAAAAGGAATGTAATCCGTTCCGACACCGAGCTCGTTACGTGAAACGCTCGTCTTTCAAAACAAATTTCTGCATTTAAAATAATGGATATCAAATTAATCCGTTCTACCACCGAAGAATATCAATATGATATTCAATGTTATAAATAATGGAGCATCCTACCTTACATACACTGAACAAACCTTTATTACATTTTTCTGTCTTCAAATTTGTTCAACTTTTTTTTATAGCAAAAGGTTCGTTAAGTGATTGTCAGGTAGGCTGCTCCATGTTTCTTAACACTTTGGTGCACCCCGCTCGCCACCCCTCAACTGTGCGATATGGGACCCAGGATGTCCTACGAGATTAAATTTGGTATCATTGTGTTCGCAATAGAATTCTCTACAGCACTAAATGCATATAAACTCCAAAAGCCCGGCTAATTACCCGCAGCAAACAGAGAAAGTGCGAACGAGTTACCCAGGAGCGCGCAAACGCGATAAAATGTTTTCACTATTTTCACTCTGGTCACCTCAATTTTTATCCTAAGTCTTTCATTTTGGTCTCAATGGGTTCGCAATAGAATTCTCTAGAGGAACATTAGCATATAAAATAAAAAACCTGGTCACGCTCCAACCGCCAACGAGTTGAAGATGGGCCACGCATTAGCCGCGAGCGAGTGCTCAGCCGCCTTCCAGCTACACTCCCAATTCCCGCCCTTTTCAAGCCTTTCTTTCGCAATTTTCTTCCTGGAAGGGCCTTGTTCATGATCACTATCCATCGTGGAGTAAGCGTAGATAGTTTCTAAAGCCGCAGTAAGAAATATAGCCGAAATGTTCACACGTTTGAGATGCGAGGGGAGGCGACATTGGTCACAACAGTGGAGCGAAAACAATGGGCCCACAGCATGCGACAAGCTGCCTGAGGGCCACGAGGCTCAACAAAGAAAATGGGAAGACATCGGCGCGCATTTTAAAACCAGTCCCCAAAAAATCGGATAAAAACCTGATTTTTGGCGATTATTTAAAGTGGATGACGCAATGCTGCGTCATCCCCGGAATTACCGCCAGGAAACGGATGACGCAATGCTGCGTCATGCCCGGGCGAAAGTGTTAAAAAAAAAAAAAAAAAAAAAAAAAAAAGCAGCGTTGAATGTAATGAAATGCCATTTTCTGGGTGAGACCCGGAGGCTCCCTGAGCTATACCGGGCTGATGTGTATATCTTAGACCATGGCAACCGTCAATCGAAGGAGTTCTAAGCTTACCGGGGACCAGAGCCAGAACCTGGCCCCCTCAAGAGAGGCACGAGAAACAATGGCCTAAAGACACCCCAGTGTAATTGGAAGCAATCTTTGTTTGCCATCTACCAGGTCAGGCACCCATAAAGGTAGGAATTTCAAAACAAATTACTGCTGGCCAAAAAAATTGCAAACCAAAAGCCGAAAAAGCAAACAGAACTCCCTAATCAAAAACCAGGAAACAAACATGATGTCACCACAACTGCCGCGCATCCGTCTGCACAACCCGCCCCTCCCCGGGAGGGGGACGGGGGTCCCAGACCTCCACACTGGCAACTCTCCCCAGTTCAGAGGCTTAATATCAAAAACGCAAAAAACCGCCGACCGGATGGAGGGAGGGATGCCTGGGAGCCTCCGGGTCTCACCCAGAAAATGGCACTTCATTACAGTACAGTCAACATTGGTTTTCTGTGGAGAGCCCATTCGGCTCCCCGGAGCTACCTAACCAAAGATAAGGAAAAAGGGACTCACCCGGGAGGCAGTTGCTACTCGCTCCTCAACTCAAAGTCGAGACAACTAGTCGCAACCTGTGACCTAAGACTATACACACCCGAGAAGAACATTAACAAGGAAACATGCAACCAGGACCCTGATCAACCTACGATTCAGTCAATGAACCACCAGAGAGCAGTCCGAATGGAGCCGGATCGTTGCTCCTCGAGCGACCCGAATCCTCTGAAGCAAATGCAACACCGCCACAAAATCCTGCGCCGTGCTGTGAGCTCGACGGAAGGACGGACCCCACCGACCCTGATCGGCCTGGTGAGCACTTATCACAAAACCCCAGCTGAGAGACGAGGCATCCGTGAACACAGAGCGAGGGCTCAGGGTGGCGCCACGGCACAAAACCCCGAAAAAACCCGCTCAGGAAGCCAGCGACGTAGCAGCCAACGCAAGGCTCCCAGAATCCGAACCCATCGATCGCGAGAGCGGTGGAAGGGACGATCTCAAAGAAACCAGAACATCCGCCGAAGCCAGACCTGACCCGATGGGTACACCAGCACGGCGAAGTTCAGGCTCCCGCACAGCCACTCAAACAACCGACGTGTGACTAGGGTGCCCTCCAAAAACAGCCGGAGGTGGGACCGCAGCCGCAACAGCGTCGCAGGAGGGAGAGACAAGGAAACGGTCCGAGAGTCCCACACAAGACCTAGCCAAGTCTGAACCTGAGAGGGAACCAAATGCCAAATGGGACTTCCTCCAGTTCACCAAGAACCCGAACCCGGCGAGTTGGGAAAGAACCATATCCTTGGCGAGCAGACACGCAGCTTGGCTGGGAGCCCACACCAGCCAGTCGTCGAGGTAAGCCAGAACCCGAACCCGTAACAGACGCAAACAGGTCACCACGACCCAGGTAAGGCGTGAGAACACTTGAGGTGCTACATTCAAGCTGAATGGAAGGCAACGAAAGCGGTAAGCTTGTTGCCCCAGCCAGTCCCTTAACCCCAGATGAATCGAGACGTGCCAATACGTGTCCCGGAGGTCCAAAGACACCATTCAGGCAACCAGCGCCAAAAGCAGCCGGACCCGAGACAGAGAGGTCATCCGAAAAGAGGAGCAAAAGACCCAGGGATTCAGACTAGACAAGTCCAGTGTGAATCGCAGATCAGCACAGTCCTGTTTCGGAACTGAAAACAGGCGGGAAACCCACCTGAGGGACGTTGTCGTTTCGACCACACCCAAGCGAACCCACTCCTGGATAACCCACTCCTGGACGATTCTAAAAATTTGGACGAGCACTGCCTGTCAGCACGCGAGGCAAGAAGAGAAGAATAGACACCACCCTCCTCAGAAACAGCGCATACAACTTCGCCAAAGCAGCCGACACCCGAGCTTCCGAAGCAAGCCCACCAGACCCTGGCTCGGAACCCAGCTCCTCCACACCCAGCACGAGCCAGTCCGAAGACAGCTCCAGCAGGGAAAAAGAAGCGCAAGACCGAATCCAAGTGCCCACGGGTGCACAAATCCTCGGCCATCAGGGATGCTGAAAGGGAGGGAACCTGCACGTGAAGCCGCACCTGGCCGACATCATAAGGAAGGATGGGGTGAACAAGCATGCCTTGATGTGCTCCAACTCACTCGTTATTCAAAATGCTCGTAAATTGAGGCGTTCATCACATGAGGTTACACTGTAATACAATTGGGTGTCAAATTAATACAACTGGACAAGTTTCAAGTTACTAAAATACAAGAGAGCAGATTTCAGTGTAAAAAATTAACATGAACAAATAAATGGGTATCAGTACTGTAGATACATAATAGCCAGCTACACAAAAGTGACGAATCCCATAATTTTGAAGTCACAGCAATAATGACATGTAAACAACAAATATACACAAATTACTAAAAATAATAATGTCCAATATACTGTATATATCTGAACCAGTTAATATTTGAAAGTTATTTTAAATATTATAAATATTAAATATTAGTATACAGGTTCTAGTGTACCTCAATAGGATCATCTGCATAACTCGAGAGGCCCGGTTTCACTTCATGCCAGAGTTCGTCATCCAGCTTTAAAGAGCTATCTGAAAAGAGCATGGTAGATCCTGTCAGGAAGTTTGATCACATTTGTCTATAACTAAGTATTTGACAATATATTTTAATAATGACTGAAGAACAAACAAGGATGTGCTAAATCGCATGTACAAAACTGGAATACAGTACAATATTACGTTTATGTAATCACTAACCATTATATATATTATTACTGGATTAGAACAGCACTTTTATGCAAATAATGTTATTACTACTATATAACAACTGCTAAATTAATTCTCTTTACATATTACAATAAAGTACTAATCTTGTACAGTATACTCTACAAGAAATTACAGTGTCGATGGAAATAATGAAATGATTACACATTTTGTTTACTATTTGGTCAGAAACTTTGGAGTAACTAATGAATGAACAAAACCTACTGATTTTTTGGGTGCAAAAACCAAAATGTAATACAATTTTAAACAAAATTATTAAAGTATCTACTAGAATTAAGAAAAAATTAATTGGGATTCATTCCACCAATGAAAATAAATTATTATACACAGTGTGTGTGTATATATATATATGTATGTTTGTATATGTATGTATGTATATATATGTATATGTGTGTGTGTATATATATATATATATATATATATATATATATATATATATATATATATATATATATATATATATATATATATATATATATATATATATATATATATATATATATATGTAGTAGTATATATATGTAGTACCTAGTAGCCAGAACACACTTCTTGGCCTACTATGCAAGGCCCGATTTGCCTAACAGGCCGAGGGATTTTTTTTATTTTCAATAAATTGTTTCCAATTAGTTCATTTTAATTATTATTATTATATTATATTAGGAACATAAATTATTGACATAGTTGTGTTAGTTTAGGTTAGGTTTAGATAGGTTAGGTTAGGTAGGGTTGGTTAGGTTCAGTCATATATCTACGTTAGTTTTAACTCAAATTTAAACAAATTAACTTATACATAATGAAATAGCCAGATCTATCATTTCATAAGAAAAAAATTAGAAAAATATATAAATTCAGGAAAGCTTGGCTTATTAGGCAAATCGGGCCTTGCACAATAGGCCGAGTACGATGTTCTGGCTACTAGGTACAACATATACAGTATATATACTGTGCATATGTATATGTGTAATTACCTAAGATTTTTTATATAAGTGCGAACTAAGGTGTTCCATCTTCAAGATAATTTTTGTCGTTATAGGTTCGAACCTTCCGATTGTGTTGGTATATACTGTACTGTGCTACCCTCTCATTTAATTTATCCCTTCCATCTACCCCACTACAAGTATTTGGAAAAGATAATATTTTATTGTTTTTGGCACCTTTGGTTTTGTAATTTGTACCTGCTGTATATCCTATTCTTGATGTAATGAATTTAAAAATACTGGTATCTTGTACAGTACTTGCTTATAAATTTCAGCGATTCACTTTATAATATTTGAACATGGTGCTTTTTCTTGTCTACTAATTCTGGAATGTTTAGCATCTGTAACCTTTCCTCATATTGTAGATTTTACAGGGTTTTTCTGGGGAAAGCCCCTTGTGGCCTCCCTGAAGCTATCATATATTGATATGGTATCATCTACCAGGTCACTTTAGCTGCAGAGTTCTATAGGCCTACTGGGTACCAGTGCCAGAACCTAGCCCCTTTTACAGGTGCAGGGGGTAGAGAAATTTATTTATTAATTTACGCCTCCACCAGGGAACGCAACCAACCAGTAAGTCAGCGAGTCAAAACAAATCAAGAGAGCAAAGCCAATAGAATTGGCTTCAGTAAAGACTGCAGCCTCGAAAACCATCGAAAGAACTCCCCAACTATGTAAACAAATGACTGAACTAGTTAAAGTTGGAACAAGTTGGAACTCGTGCAAACTCATTCACCCCACCTTCCCCACTTATTTGGGGGGAGGAGGAACGCAGTTCAAGATCAGCTGGCATTTCCATCCTCAGTTCTAAGCAGATGTAGCCAAACTTCCCACCACCCTGACGACTTGGAAGGGGAGGAAGGGAATCAGTAAGCCATGGGGCTCACCCAGAAACTGGCATTTCAATACATTCAATGGTGTTATTTTGAGGGGAGCCCCTAGTTGCCCACCTGAAGCTAACTACCCATGGATAAGGAAAACAAATAGGTATTCACCAGGAAGAAGGAAGCATCACAGAAAGCAAAACGAAGAGAAGACACCCGACCGAGAGACCCAAAGCCACACAAGGAAGCTGGGGCCCCGGAAAAGGAATAAGATACCATATGAGCTCGCTTATCCAAAGTTGGATATTTTTTTTTTTTAATTTACAATATCCAAATAGCGATTCAGATAACTGGAGATTTTGCCGGATAATGCATAAAGCATAGATTCTAAATCAAGTTCAGATAACTTTCTGCCAAACTTGTATCTGGACTGAAATCCAAAAACCCAGAAATTTTTTCCAGATACTGCAGACCATACTGTATCAGGCCATACCATATTAATCCCGTACAGCAGTGGCTGGAGATGTAGGGCCTGGGAGGTGCTGGGGTGGTGGTTTTAGGGTAAGGGAGTCAGGAGGGGCTTTGGAAAATGAGAGACAAGTGAAGGGGCCTATGAAATGTATAGAATACCAAAGAATTTGTTAGAACAATTCATAACAGTAAAAATAGCTAATGTTATAACATAAAAATTTCTGAAAAACTATGTGTACAGGCTGAGAATTGTAGTTTCCTGCTAAAATTTGGGGATTTTTTTTCTGCCTGGTGGCCTACATAATATGCCTGCCTGCCCCAAGTGGACCATATGCCCTCGATCCCTTACATTATACCACGGTGCTATGCAGTTAGTGAAACATTTTCTTAAATAACTTTTTTGTTTTCATTTAAGCTTTAATAATTTTTTGACAAGACTGTCTCTGGAATATATAGAAGTCGTTTTAATTGTTTTGAGATGCTATTCTGTGGTTTTCTAGACCAGTTCCTGTGAACCTCTTTGTTATCTGTATTGTTTCACCGACTTTCTGGATGCTTTTCCAGTGGGGTGGCAGAATGTCACTTACTCTTAGTGTGTCTGTGAGGGAATCCAGAGTGTGGCTCTAGTCCCTGGTAGGCCCACAACTGATGTAACCTAGTAGATAGGAGCATTCTCAGTGAGACAGCTTCAGGGAGCCACCAAGGAAGCTTCTCCAGAAATCATGTGTTGTATGTAATGAAACATCTTTTTCTGGTGGGCTTTTCAGTAGGTCCCCGAGCTTAAACACTGGCATTGTCAAGCCTTGACAACTTTCACCAGTCCTCCAAGACCCACCTTGACCTATCATAAAGTGATTCTGCTTAATGGTTGTATTATAATAGTCTATGTCTAGTACTATATTTTTATATTATAAATGTAACAAAAACAGAGTACCTAACTTTGCCCATAAAAACAAATCCCTTGGTTAGTATACTTATTGGTTATAGTTGGAATGATATTTTATATCTTGATTTAGAATTGATTTGGACTATATTTTCTTTTTAAAAATAGTTTACAGTATTATGAAGTTTATATTTGTTAATGATCCATACAGAAAGAGGAAATACTGTAGTTTCTTCCTAGAAATGTAATAAAATCTTGAATCAAATAGAAGACCTCGGTGATAGGAATGCTCACATGCTGTTAAATAAGGATCCCTTAGAGAAAGTCAAAGGTCATTTTAGTAAGAATTTGAAGCAGCTTCTTAAGAAGAATGAACTAAGTATGAGATCATCTTTATTACCATATTTGTATGGTCTTGTTAAAACACAAAGCCAGTCATCCAGCTAGACCTATTATTAGTCCCATGGGAGTCAGTTTCAATTAAATTATCTAAATAATTTGTAAAGATTTTGATCCCATTAATAGGACTAATATCTACTTCAAACATTAAGAATAATGTTGATCTAGAAAGTAAACTAAGTAATACAACTATAAAACAAAACTTTAGTGAGTTTGATGCAACTGCTTTGTTTACTAGGATTTCAGGCTGATTATTTCCTTAGCTTGCTGTTTTTTTTTTTTTTACAGAGGTACAGGAGTAGATGGTTTGACTACTGTCAGCAAGTTTAGAGTTATATTATCCCACAGCTCACCTCAAGCCTTAACGTAATAATTTACCCTGGAATACAACCAACCAATTACAGTAGTTTACAATCAGGTCCCCAATTATTGATGGGTGAACTAGGGCAAACAATAACAATGAGTGAGGGTAAGTAGTAAGAATCAGTGCCTAATTACCCCTCCTGTCCAGGACTAGAACCCGGCTAAACTCACTTACGCAGTGTGCGAGAGGCATGGGACAGGCGTAGTGGAGGCATGCAACCATTATGCCACAGGTGTTACCTGCATCCTCTGTTATTAATTATACTATGCACTAAAGATAACATCTTTGTTTTTAATAGGAATTTTTATGCTAAAAAATTGGGAGGATTGCAATTACAAATATATATAACACCTGTTTCCAGCAATTTATATATGGGAGACTTGGATTTTTAATAGCACATTGCCTCGGGATGCAACAATATGGTTCAGATATATGAATGATGTTTTATACTTGTGGCTGGATTCCTAAGAATTGTAAAAATTGCAAAACTGAAAATTTGAGTAATAGTCATCCAATAGAGTGGGAGAATTCTAGGAAAATGTCTGTGTAAATCTTTTATCGATAGAAATATAACTGAATTAAGTATACTGTAATAAAATAATATAATAAAATAATATAATTAAATTGAACAAATAATTAAATATACCAAATAATTAAATTTAATAATAAATAAATAATATACTGTAATTGAATTTTACAAAATACATTAAAATAAAATAAAACACAGTGGTACCCCTAAACATTTTTCCCCCTGGGTGAATAAACGTGGTCCTACTGTTGCTGGAAATATTGCAAGAATGACAATGATGATTAATTAATATCCAGCTGCTTACTGGACAATTGTTAAAATGACTAATGAAGTGCCTATATATAAGAAAGTAGGAAGACAG